TATATATATATATATATATATATATATATATATGTATAAATATGCAAAATTGGAATGGAACGCAGTTGCAAAGTATACTGCCTCAGAGGTGACAGAAAGCTAAAATACCCAGTAGATTGTTTGGACCACACGAAATTCAGCCCGGATTTAGAAACGTTAGCTGCCGATAAAAGTGTGGTAAGCAAATTACCAGTCGAATAGTGACACTGCGGATGCAGCGCGCTAGGCGAATATGTTTGAAGATGTTTCAGTACAAAGAAGATCCGACGTGCGTGGTTGATCAGATTCTTGAAGACAATGGCTAACTTGAATTTTTACTTAAGCGGAGTATTGATGTCATGCTGTGCTCTGAAGACTGCCAATCGCTTGATTCAGTAACCCTTAAAACAACCCAGGCAAGAGGGACGACTATCCCAAAAACCATCACACATGGTCTTTTTTATAATAGACGTACCACCGAGAATAGGCCTTATCCGTTCATCTCGGCATATCGCAACGTACACTGGCTCCTCCGACATCCCATGCACTGCGCCTTGAGGTACTTTCAGATAGACTCCTGTAAATTAAACCATAAGAACGGTTCATAAGCAAAAGCTTCAAAAAATCCAATGATGTTCAATTTTGATTATTTTTGCTTGCCTTCAACGGTATAAATGCTAAACTATCCTCAGAAATGGCGGTGGAATGAAAGTTATATCAAATTTTAGGGTATTACAGAATTTATTCAAAGCTTCTCACTTGCGCAGTGTGTAAAATAACACCTAACACCATGCAAATTCAACAGCCTGAAACGTCTGAATCTCACTCCTGTGAATTTCATCGTGCCTTGCTATGTGGACTAGGTGGAATAAATCACCTCCCTGTGTGGCTATTAATCAAGGACATTTGAGTGCATATGCGTATATATTGAGCTACCTTTCAAGCACGGGCTTAGGCACACGGGTGACGTGTAGCTCATAAGTGCGAGCAGATATGTGCGCATCAGATATGACTACAACACACAGACCTTGAACTTTTTTTTCTCAGAGAGTTCCCTTCAACATCCCGACACTTTTCCAGGTACCACAGTTACCACTCTGCAATACTTCCTGATTGAATTCAAAATTTTGTAACGATGTTGATAACTTGAGAAAATTTTGGCATTTTTCATTGAGATTTCGTCTCATCACTGTTGCCAATCCCTACCGAAATGTCGAGACGCATTGCATTATTGTTGGGAAATAGTAATAGTGTAGATCTCGGAAAATTTTGAACGGATTCGAACTCGTCGCTTCCCGGAAAGAGGTTTCTACCAGGCAACCTTTCGGCCACGAGTGCTCGTGGATATTACACCAAATGATCCCATTAGTACAGTCGGGCGCGCATCTCCGCTGCATTATACATGAGACCATAGTAGTTTCAGTGACCAAATAGTGTACCATCCATCGAATTAAGTCCAAAATTTGCTGCGGAATTCAAGAAGCACCTAATATTTTTAAAAAATTACTTTTCACACAACACGCGTTCCCCCAGCACAATATTAGGTATGACCTCTAACCTATGTTAGTTGTGTGAAAATATGTGCCCCCTCCCAAAACGACCCAAATGATGATAGTTGCCGGCAGTCTAGCGGTTTAAACGTGACAAAGCACAGGTGGAACCCAGTACAAGTGGATAGGTAGATTGTTCGTTTCAAGCGTCCACTTTCATCAAATTATCGAGGTCGTTATCATTAGAAAGGAATCTGAGGACACCTGCATCTGAGTAAGCGAGTGGGTAAGTGAGTGAACGAGGGAGTGAGTGAGTGAGTGTATGAGTTGGAAAATTATGAATTATGGCTGCCAACAATCGATTATTCTTCAAGGAAAACACCAGGCATTTAATCCATTAAAAAAGGTTGAATGCTGCATGCATTTTGTACAGTCCACTCACCTGATGTGGAACTGCAGATTAGGCCACCATTTTCTGTGAGGTTTGCACTGATCACCACGTCGGTTTCCTGAATTTCACAAGAATAGTTCCACGGTGGGTTGAAGTCGTTAGAGTAATTTGCGTTATACTGTCGAGTTTCTCTGTCTCCCACGACTGTTTCACCAGTCTGAGCCAATAACAAGCCAGACGGACTGTGTGTAGCGCCAATACCCAGAGATCCATTACTACTATCGGCGTTGACTGACCCAACAGCCGTTGTGTTTGTAGCCATATTTGATGACGATTTCCCGGATGATGCTTCTGTGAAAACAGATCCAACTTTATGGGCGCCGAAAAGATGATTTGTGGCTGTTGTAGCTGAATTTAGGTCCAGCGTATCCGGCAGGATGTTTCTTCCTGGTATTTCACTGTAATTGAAGGGCGATAATAACACTAACCCGGAGAAAGTATGTGAAAAAGTTAAGATTGAGTGTTTCGATATCGTAGTAAGATGTTTTGGAATACATTTACTTATTTGATACAGTGACGCTACACATAACCAGTCATATCGTTGGTTTTTGTATCCTCTGTTTCACGGCTGTTTCCCACAGTGAGAAAATTCTGAAGATCAAAAGTCTTCCTAAATTAGTCAAATTTATCGAACTTGATAATTTTATTCCTAAAAGAATCAGTACAGTGCACGTTTCAGGTTCCGTGAATGAACCTAGCAGCCAGTAAACTCAAAACCGACGTTGTGTCTCATTGCAACATCAAACGCAAATAAGCTACATACGAAAATCCAAATAGTTCAGGTTAATTGCGTACTTACTTTATCTTTGTGTATGTTGTACTCGCACCAGCCATGTCACCCATTGTTAGCAAGCTTTGATTTTGGGTAAATGGGAGCATAGCGCGCAGAGGCTCAACACTTGTAACACAATATGGAGTATTTTGCAGGAAGACATCGTTCCCTTCACATTTCTCACCACAAAGTAAGGGGTCTCGAAAACATGACGGGACTGGGGGCAGTACCCCTAGGTGTGAGATTGTTCCTGTCAATCCTATGGGGAGAGGGAAAGATGATGGGTTTTCTAGGATTTGGCACGTTAGACCAAGTGATGACTGATTGGAAATTGCCGCACGATCGTAGATAGGAAGAGAATACTGATGGTCTGTGGGGAGTGAAGTTATGGGCTGTGAACTTATATCTGTTTGGGGTATACCCAGTGATCTTCCATCGCATGATTTCTGTCGAATGTCCATTGTGATGGGATTTCTTATTGTCATCGTTGACTGCTTGAAATCATTCAAAAGTAAAGGGTCTGAAAAAGTGAAAATAGACTGGTTTAACCATGTGTCCAAGCTTCTCTAGGTTTGTGGTTTCAATGACTGTATCTCACTTTCACTGCGAAGCAACAATTATTAACGCTACATTTCCAAACTTTACTGCACAGTATGCACAGGACCAATTTAGAACATGTTTCTTCCAACTCGTCGGGGGGCGCTAGTATTTGACCGTTTTGCTTCTAATTTCCTACCTAATTTTGAAGTTATTTTCCCAAACTTCAAAGTATTTCAACTGGTAATGAGCAATGACTATCTTTTATGAAGTTTTTTCCATGTTGCCACCCTACCGAAATGCATGTACCCGTATTCAACACCTAGACTGTTTGGCTCGTGGATGAACAAAACCCTTGATGAAACATAAGAACTGATGGTTGTTTTTAAATGGGGTTGTTGGGCAAAAATGGCCCGAGGGTGTCACGAAATAGGCAAGGGCAAAGACGAAAATCTACTGCTATCAAGCAAATATCAAAAGAAGTACAGTTAGTTACAACTCTAACTATATAAGCCTTGACGATCTGCAATGACCCAAAGGCCTTCCTGTATGTGATAGCAGATTAAAAACCAATGTGGCCACTCTCAGGCGGACGACGGAAATAATATGATTACTTCTAACGAACACTCTGAAGTAGACACTGTCTAACAAATGAGGTGTGGCTGGTGAATTGTTAAACAATTATTGAGATTTTCATATGATTTTTCTACACATTTTGTCACATTTTTTCTTCCTAAATTTTGACCTTTGTGCTGAAAATTTGGATGATATTCACGAAAAATAAAATATGCAGTGCCTACAGACGTGATACATACCAATATCCTGTGACGGATAGGCACCTATCCAAGTTTTGCAATAAAATATACCATACAAGAATTTCTCGAAAATGCATTCATCGTAATCGAGCATTAGCCACACGGTAAAAATTCTGACACAGGGATTATTCAAACATTAATGTTCCTCAATACGTAAGTGAAACATTTGGCCATGTATGGGAAAAAAACTTCGGGCTCAGTATGATTTTCATCACTACTTTACGACTACGATACTGCAGCACATTTTTTTCTCGCTGTGCTATGGAGATAGATGTAGGCCGCTCAGCTTTTACAGAGAAATAGGTTACGTTTAACTCCAAGACAGTGTTTATGAACCGAGGCGTTGGAATAAAAGGTTAAAAAATGTATAACTTGGTTGTTGGTCTGTGCAAATCATGGTCATGTATGACAGTAAAACAACCATAGACTGAGGTGATCGGATATGCCTTCTATGAAAAAGTTGATATTTTGGACCATAGATAAGAATGCCTTTATAGCAGTTAGTTAGGCTAATAAAAAAGAACTAGCTAGGAGGTCCTCCATAATCAAACTCATTCCTGTAAGATTGGAGTGTGGTTTGTCATCTATGCTCATGTTTAAAGTAAACCAGCTTACCCAATCAAGCTAGTTTGGGTTGAAAGCCAAACACGCCTCGGATGACATACCTGCAAACGAGTGAGTTGGCATTAGAATCCAGCTAATCTGTTCGATGTCGAATGGAGGTTTGATCTCAGTACATTGGTTGCTTAGCCCCATATTGTCGTATCCAATATCTTTACTTCCAAAAAGGCAAATAAGCCCCCGTTTGAGTGGCAACTTCCAATTTGTTTTCTGTCCACGACAATTTACATCGTTAACCTGATGTTACGCACTTGTGAATAACAAAGCGTATCGGAAAGATTGATTTAAGCGGCACGGTTTTGTTATATGCTGCTTCCGGGGTTTGACACTTAGCTTACAAAGCTTTTTCGCCAATCGAGGTGACATCATCAGCGTACTAGTGGCAATGTTGATGCTCAGAGGACATATCAATAATCACTTGACAAAAGAACAGTAAATGCACCTAACCGATTACAATTTAAAAGTGTGAGTATGTGGTTCAACGTGTCATTCGAACCAGAAATTCTTAAAAAGCGTTCAGAGATGTTCTTCATATTATCAAACTCAAGTTACTGACTCTTAGTGAAGCTGTATGGAATTATCTACAATGACCCTCTGTCGTATTTAAAAGAGCTTGACGCAAGCTTCAACCTTCAGAGAGGACAGGGTTGGCTTTGTTCTGCATACTATTTTATCATCAAGCATTTGTTGCTTCTTACCCCGATATTGAAAAGACTGGGAATTTTAGACAAGATCGCATGCAAACGCTATGCTATTCATAAAAGGACTTACCCTTTGGAAAGATGCCTCGCTTCTCAGAGTGATATGCTGTGGTGCCTTTCGGAATGCAAACAGAATGTTTATGGAAGAATCAATTCTGAGTAACAATCACAGCCAAACCACAAACCGTCATTTAATGAGTCACTGTCCATCCCGTACATATTCAAAAATTTAGTAATTTTCACTCCTCCTATTTGCAACTACAAACGAGCAAATATGCATTTTTAGTTAACCCAGGGCACTCGAACCAGCATCGTCAAATAAGCCTTATTAATGTTTGGTGGAAACACTGAGGTTTCTGTCATTATTCATATTAATCTCACAAAGGCAACTCTCCGCAGTTTCTTTGATTGGACCCAATACAAACACGATATCATCATTAGTACGTCTGGAACAAACTTTGAATGACATCTCATATGATTTGGCCGACGTAAGTAACCTTTTAGGAAACAAGAATGACAACATCATCGGTATCTGTGGCATTCCATTGAACCAAAGTCCAGCAGATCGCCTGATTATTAAGAACTGTTCGTTTTGGATAGGAAAGCAAAGCTGGTCAAAGCTAGCGGAATTAAGGGTGCGGTTTTGGTTTAATCTACTTGAAATGAATGTATGTATTCATGTGCCTAATTGGATACGCCCTTGAAAGCAACCGACTGTAGGTCAACGTAACAAAACGTTGGTATAATACTGCTGCAGATGCAGGGTACGTCCTCAAGATGAGAACGGGCGAAAAAGCATGGCTAACGACAATATAAATAAATCAGTAGAACTGGTGTATAAATTAGTACAAAACTACTATAAGCTGGTACATACTTGCTAGCCGATGCGAATAGATGCAAAGCGAGTAAAACACTCCTTTTAAGGACACTAACTTCCGCTTTGCATAGGCGGTGTTTGAACAATATAGGCCTTGTTAGTTTTTAAATTATCGAACACGTGCACGGCCAAAAGCACATGGGTTATTTTTTGGGATATTTGAAAGACTTGCAAGAAAAGCCACAAAAAAGTTCAAGACCTCAAAAGACGTATTTTTATTCTTTAATTGCACCTCCATTACCGAGTACCGAAGAGCAGGTAATTTTAATAACCATTCATTAGATATTCGGCTTTTTCCTCATCGAGCTAAAATAAGTTTCTGGCTTTCCGCTTGTAAGTGAGAAAAACAGCAGATTTTCTCTCGGAGTGATTTTCTCCTTCCCTTTTCAATTTGACGGTTAACTGAAAATTAGCCTCGTCAGATGGTAGCTCTAAAAATTTCGAAAATTAATTTTTGTTCTCTGTACACAGTATAGTCAAAAATGCCACTAAACATCTGATGTTTTATTATGTAGTTTAAACACAAAGAAATACAAGTTAATCCAAATAATCAAACCGGGATATGTGCAGTAAACTAGCGAATAATAAATCAATTTCATAAATCCACTGAATGAAATTTGTGACTGCCAGCGTAGTATTTGTTTAGAAAAAGCAATATTTTTACTCTACGAATTATTTTTGTCACAAATATGTGATAAAGCACGAATAGTTGACCGCATTTTACTTCACTCCAGAATCGTTCAAACTCCATGGGCTCCACGTATTTTGGTAGCGTAGATAAAAATCATTTTTAAGGGTTTTTCACATATAAACACCCATCTTTTTCTTATTCTAAAAACATGTGTATGACATTAAAAAAGACAGTTTTCTGTCGGATGATTTGCGTACATTAAGTGTAAATTTCTAATTTACGAAGGTGCACGTACTTCCGTACAGCGGATCGGGATAAAAGTTTCTTGTCTCCAGCTAGGTTATATACATATGCAGGTGGCTATAAATATCTTGGAATTGGCATTCTGAAACAAATTTATTTATCCAGATTTTGTTTTACGGTGACCCAATGGGCCTCAGTAACACGGATTTGTTAAAACAGTCAGATATATTTTCAGCCCAAACGTGGTTGGAATTTAATAAACTTCTTTATAATCAATTGGAAAAGATTTGGAACCGATTGAGAACTCATCGTTTCAGAAGAGCTTGATAAATAATCGGTAGTTTTTATTTGGGCAACGTTTCGCTTTTGACACAAAAGCCCAAATAAAAACTACTGATTGTTTATCAAGCTCTTCTGAAACGATAACTTCTTTATAGTTTCGCTATAAAGCCTTTAAAGCGAAACGTTGCCCAAATAAAAACTACCGATTGTTTATCAAGCTCTTCTGAAACGATAACTTCTTTATAGTTTCGCTATAAAGCCTTTAGACAAATTTTCTTCCCGGAAAAATATATAGATGACCCATTGATTGCACTGTTGTTCCAAGTAGATTATTGTACATGGGAACTTTCACATTCTTAAGCTAGATTTCAACAGCACATATCAGCGATAAACCAATGCCAACTTACACCGACGGGTGCTTAAACAGGCACATAACTCTTAACAGCAGCAATCCATGATAATAATCAAATGCAACCGGCTAATTTATCGCTTCATAGTAAATTCACTGCATCATATATATATATATATATATATATATATATATATATATAAACTTTCTGGCCAAGAGTGCAGGTGATAATGAACCTTCTCACAATGCACGAACGTCATTTGCCTTAACTTTACTAAACTATTGGGTGTGTAACAAATACAGATATTCCATGCTCCAAAATTTTTCTGATGTCTGGTTCTTTACTCCCAGTAATTCTGAAATTGTCTTGGCAATCATTTTATTGAATGCGTTGCAAAACGTTAAGGGAATGTCTCAGAGTTAGGCACAACTCTTCTGTAAACGTGGATACGCAGCCTTTACTTACCGGGAAGACAACACGGTAAGTGGAGTGGTTTTGGGAAAAATGATCGTGATCCTTTCCATTGGCAGAAGAATAGCACCAGAAGAATCAGAATGCAGGCAACGAAAGCAAACAGTGCCACGTATATGATGATTTCCCGGGTGTGTAAGTTCCGTTCCATACCTTGTTTTTCTGCTTGTTCATCCACTAGTTGGTCCCCAGTTGCGGCACCCGTTCCTGATGTAAAATACAATTTTGATTACATGGGAATTTTAACTGAAAGAAGCAGAGTTAAGAAAATGTGTTGTCAACATTTTTATAAGGATGTTTCATTCTGAAACATGGGGAGAAGTTTGGCCTCAATCGTCTTCTAGATAACTAGCACATAGTTGTAAAACAATTAATGGCGATAAGTCATTTGTATCTGCGAAATTCGTGCAACAGGACTTACGCAGATGAAATTTGTTGTTAGGATTATGATGCCCTTGTAATGTAATCAAATGGTTTGCAAAAATATTACCGCTGGGGACTGTTGTCTGCCACAAAAGTCAAAAAAGTCCTCCATTACTGCACCGAGTTGGGCTTTAGCGTCTCCCTTAATTAACAGGAGTGAGCAGCCGTGTATTCCCTACTTGTTGATTGCTACGGGGCTAAACTCGAGGGCCAAGAACTGACTGAATATGTATATATATATATATATATATATATATATATATATATATAATGTCA